GGTTGTAAGAGGCCCCCAGTAGACTGAAGGAAAGATTTGGTGTTTTATGTCATGAAGCGCTTGTCTTCACACACTGCCCAGATATCTGATCCTATTATATAAAGCTACAGCCTTCTAATCTCTAAAATTAACCACGCAGAGGTAAACACAGTATTCCTGACTGAGACTATTTATCTCCTAAAGGCTTTCAGCAGAGCAGACTGCTCCCTGGGCAAGGAACACAATCCGGCACAGTTCTCGCTCAGGTGGAGAGAAACGGGCCACTGGTGCTTTGCTACCTTTTCGGCACAGAGTGAGCGTGGGAGATCCCGTGAAATCCCAGCCACACGCTCAAGTCTGCCCGTCCACAGTGGGAAGGCTTTTCCTCCTCTAATTTCACCTGGTCCTCCCGGACTGTTTATTAAAGATGTATATTTTATATCAGCAGAGTGTATCAAGTAACTTCTTGGCAAAGGCAGCTGTATTTTCAGGACCTATTAAGATTCTTTGTGGAAATTTAAATACCTCTGTCAGGCAAACAAAATCATATCAGGAATCATAGAATTTCATTGCTAGAAAGAGAAATTAGATTAACCAACCCGCACTCCTTTCCTAGAACTCTCAATAAAATAGAAGTAACATTTCAACAGTCTCTTATTTCTGGTCTGAAGAGGCCTCACAAGAAATCTAAATAAATTTGTAAGAAAGCAAGCTATCCCGAGGAAAGCCTTTCAGTCTACAAAAGTTGTGCACGGAGCGAGATTGGAGACTATGTCAGTATATATTGCATAGTAGAAGGCAGTGACTATTTAAAATCAAAACAGCCAGAAAGATCCAGTAGCAAAACCTATAACAAGTTCAGCCCTGCTAAGGATCAGCCCCTGAAAACATCCTTGTCCTTTATTAATATTTAGTGGAAATGTATAATTGCAGATGTGCACTAGGTTAGGGTTTTATGTCGGGAGGCGGGCAAAGAAGACAGGTTTATTACAGCCATGAAATATTAAACAAGCACCAAAGAACAGTAGTTGTATGTCCTAGTCTAGCCAGAGAGCAGGCAGGCCCGAACGTCAGCTGCACAAAGAGGGCCCCTATCTGTTTACATTACCCCTGATTAACACCTGCGAAGTTTTGAGTTACATCTTCCGGAGGCACAAGAGTCCCATGAAGGCATGCACCCCAGGGTGGACAGTTCTGCGAGGAAGCAGGGAGCCATGCTCCTCTCCTGGCTCTCCCCAGACAAGTTTAAGTCAGCCTTAATGATTCTCTGCATGGTGTTGGGAGAATGAAAGAGGACTCAAGAGAAAAGCGATGCTTTGCTCTGAGGCTAAGACCTCCTCCCTCTCAAATCTGCCCCATGGCTGGAGAAATTCAGTGCTCAATTCCTGCCCGCCTAGTATTTCTCAGCGCTGCCTCTCCGTTAGGAATGGAACCCTGACAAAAGCATGAAATCCTAAACATTTCTCCCACATGGCTGGATAAAAATCAGACTTCCAGAGCGAGCAAGACTGGGTGCAGAGGGTCTATACCAAGGGTGCTCCCATTTCAAAATGTGCGAAAGGCTATTCTAGGCTACTCTGGGTTTTAAGAGAGAGAACCACCAACAGAAAAGAACTGGAGCAAAGACAGTTATGGGACACAATTAATTCAGAAGGGGGAAGCTACTTTCTCTTCCTTAATATGTATAATCTGCACATGTTTGGTCAACTCCCTATCGTTACTCCTTTTGGCCCTGTTTTGAAATTTATCTGTAGCCATACACACCCCTTACAAAGACAGAGGATTTTGCAAACTGTTTTTAAATTCATGTCATCCACATAGCCTTAAAAGATGTCTGAACAGGGACAAACTCAAGCTGCTTGTGTGTGTGTGTGTGTGTGTGTGTGTGTGTGCGTGTGTGTGTGTTACCCCCTTTTCATAATCTCACCGTTTCCCCTTCAGCAAACAGAGCCTTACAATCAGATGAAGTTTCATTATACAAAAGTTGTCTGGTGAATTAACAAGTCAAGAGAAGCATAATTTGGAGAAGCTGGTTTTCCTGTTATATGTATGTATAGAAAATCATAATCACTTGTCATTCCAACCTAGACTTCTCAAGAATTACAACTTGCCAATCAAGCGTCCTCCCCGCCAAAGGGCACTCAAATCCTATAAGAAAGGCAAGCTGGCCATGTCCAGCGGCTGCAGGCCTTATACAGTTCTGAGCACTGATTCGTTCCTCCAATCCAGCACGGATCATTTTGTTAAATACCGATGAGTATTTTGTCATTGGAGCAAAGAATTTCAAAAACGTTGTTAATATTTAATCACATTAGTACTGGCGTATTTTATGGTATAACAAAATAAAATATCATTACAAAAATGGACTTTGCCTGAAAAGGGCTGGGAGGGATGAGGAAGAGATTGTGCGGCTGGAACCTAGAGAAGGTATCTTCCAAGCCATCAGACGTCACTGTTCCTTGACTAATGGAACTACAAGGCACATTTTTGAAGAAAAGCAGAACATTTTGCCTGAATTTTTTTTCCCTGACTCTATTTCAAAGTGGCACACTTCACTCTGATTTTTAGCCAGGGGACTCAGGGACCTATAGAAAGCTCTGTGTACCTATTTATACAACCTGTGCAGATGGAACTGCAGGGTGTTATCATAATGAAAAGTTTAATCATCCTTATTTACTATCAGTAAGGGAGCAGGAATCAGATGCAGAAACCTTAGAAAGCCTCTACCAGCAGCCCAAGGCTGCAAAAGCTTGGAGTGACCTCAATTCCAGGCTTTATCTGGGAAACTGTCCTTCCCACTTCAGAGTGGAAAACAAAGGAGGTCAAATGGGTGTCCCCGCCAAAGCCAGTGCCTAGGAGGTGGCCAGCCCCCTGGTCCCGGAGGAAGTCCCTATCTTTTCATATGGGGGGGGGGTCATTTAGTTTACAAAGGAAATCAACCCTAAAGTGACTAACATCTGTTTCCAAAAAATAATTTTGCTCATCCGATTGTAAAAATGAAACAAACCAAACAAAACATCTCTTTTATGACATTTCTTCATCCACAGCCTACATCTCTTTCTCCCTGCCCAGTAAAGGACTGACCAGTAAGAGGGTAGAAAGATACCTCTAGAAAAATCCCATTAAAACCACTCAATACTGCTCCACCTAGGAAAGCCCTTTCAAAGATTAGAGGGAACCAGTATTACTAGTTTGCTTTATCAATTCTCTAAACTGGTTTTTTTTTTAAACTTTTCTCACCCTATTTTGGTCAATATGTTCTTAATTACTGGAGAGCAGGGGGGAGGAGGGGGAGGGGCAGCCAGGCCAGGTAGAAGTGACAGGGGCTGAGATCCGTGCTAACCAGCTATCGATCGGGCCAGATCGAGATGTTGTGTACAAGAAAATAAAAGAGAAGGGAGGAGGGGTGCAGCAGCAGGACGGTATGTCCGACTCCCTTCTTAAAAGGAAAAAAAACCTGCGGAGGGTCCCAAACTAACCAATTTATGGCCTTGCCTGGGAGCAGCCCGGAGCACGCTGACGCTGGACAGGGAGCGCTGCTGTGCATGCTAAACACCCGGCTTCAAATGAGCGCGCGCACGTCCCGGCGTCCCGGGCTGGGCAGTAATGCGAACAAAGAGAAAAGGAGCAAGCTTGCTTTCATGAATGAGAAAACCTAAGGGGGAAAGCGCCCTGGGCTGGCGCCTGGGAAGCCCTGATTTCTGAACTAGCCAGCTCCTTTTCCTCTCCCCCTTGCTTACCAGCCCCCAGCACGTTCCCTGAGAACCTACCCTCACCTTAACCCCAGGGTCAGGAGATGGCGCTTGCAGAGGGCTGGGGAAGAGAAGGAGGAAGCTAGCAGGGAAGGCAGGAATCAAGGAGCACCCTTTTAAGAGACAGGGTTAAACTGTCAGCCAGGGGCTCCACAGTCACATCCCGCCCACTGCAACCCAGGGAATTCAACTAGGGTTTAAAAGAAAAAGATAAAAGATGGCAGAGAAATGATATTGTCTGATTTTAAGGAGCTATTAGTTCTATTTTTGTAAAAAGCCCCACTAAAATAAAATGGATACATACTGCAGCCCCGTCATCTTTAGGTTTCAAAGAATTCTCACGACTTTAACTGGAAGAGTATGGAGCTAACCTCACCCCCCCCCCAACCACCTTAAAGGCCTCCAGGCTTGGTGGGGAAGGGGTGCTTAGAATGCAAACGAGAACTGGGACTGGACATCTGTCACCAAAGCCAAGCGAGATATTGACAAACGCGGGTCCTTTGTGTCTTAGGAATATATATCTGTATCCCCACACACACAAGTGATGTCCTCATGGACTGGTCTGGGATCTGCCAAGCAGAACCCCCCAGCCCCTCCATGCCAAATGTCAAGCAGATGTGCCCTGAAAAGTAGCCTACCTCCTCCAACCCCTACAGGTCTCCGCTTTTCCCCCCTCAGTGAAACTCTAATAGTCACGAAGAGACAAAACAGCTATTCATTAGGAACAAATGTCAAATGAGGCCCTGCCTCGGAGAGATGCTGCTGACACCGGGGCTGGTAACTTTTTTAGTAAAGATACTGTCTCCTAAAAGAACTCCATCTGGAGGCTCGCTGACTAGGAGAAGGTGGGGAGGCATTAACACAACTTTCCAGGTGCCCTGCCAGGAAGGAGGGTACACAGCTCCTAAGAAGGGGAGCTGGCCTGAACATGGAGGCTGCAGAGGGGTCTTGTGTAGAGGGAAGGGGGTTCCTCTGTGTGCAACACAGTGGGCTGTCAGCCGAAGCTGGGGGTCAGGGATGACTCTACAGTGAGTCCCAAAAGTGGCCAGCTAAGTTCTTACCATCCTTTAGATCCAGAATCTACCTGGTGACACTTGGTGATGGGCATCCCAGTAGCCCTTCTTGGTAACCAAGTAAGGATCCCCAGTTCTGAGCCACAGATTAAGAAGGCCTGTGCCCTCCTAACCCTGAGGAATTCAGGGGCAGAGGCCACCCACCTGAGGATGGGTGGTCACAAGGAAAGGAAAGGGACCGAGTGTGCGAATATACCTTCTTTGCTGTTGGGGTTCTGGGGTTTGGCCTTTTCCCAAGGTGCCAGCGTCTTGTCATCCTCTGCGCCGTCCACCAGGGCCTTGTCAGCTGGCATGTACCAGGTGGCACTGTGCTCTGCCATCAATGAGTCCAGGTCAATGGTGCTCATGGCGCTCTTGACCGCCTCTGAGCAGCAGCTCCCCAGCTCGCTGTCACCATTCTGCGTGCCCGAGGCCCCCACTGGGCATTCACCCTTCTTGCCACCCTTGAGCCCCAGGGGCTGGTCCTCAGAGATGCTGAACTGCTGCCTCTGCAGCTGGATCTGCGCCTGGAGAATCTCCAGAGGGTGGATCTCGTCGGGAGGCGCTGCCCCGCTGCTGCTTGTGGGGGTCCTGACCTGTTCCAGGCCCGGAGTGCCCGGATGGCCAGCAACCCCGCCCCCACCGTAGCTGTCAGGGGTCGAGGTAGAGGTAGACATGATGCCCAGGCCAAGCGGGGGTGGAGGCGCCTTCGGTCCATGATCCCCGGTGCCCACCCCTCGAGGAGGGAGTTTGGGTGAGCCAGTCACTAGGGGGCTCCTGCTGGCTTTGGCCAGGGCTGGGGGGTTGTCAGAGCTGGACGACACCTCGTCCTCATTGGTGTAGCTGGTGCTCACCTCGTCGGAGGTAAACTCACCCACGTGGGGCGAACTACCGGTCGACTTGGCCCCGCCGTCCAGGGATGTCATGAGGTCTGGCTGGTCCCCCAGGAGCAACTCAGCCCCTTTTCCCCATGACGGCGATGTGAGTGCCTTCTCGTGGGGCGTGGGCGCCCCGCGAGCCTCGCTCACAGAGCTTCCCCCGACGGCAGCGCCTGGACCTGACTGCTGCCCCGGGCTCACCCCAGGTGCACCCCCACTGTCTGGAGCCACAGAGTACTTGTCAAAGAAGGTCCCAGGGCTCACGTGACCACTGTCCCTTTTTCTGCGACCCCGTCCCCGGCCACCGCCCCCTGGGACCGGCTTGCCATCGTTCCCCGACGTGGACTCTAGTGTGTAGTTGGGGGAGAGGCTGGTGCCATCCCCCTGGGTGGGCGGGTTTGAGGGCCCTGATGCTTTGGAGCCGCTGCTACTGGTCCCTGAGGGGCCTCCAGATCCTGGGGCTCCAGGAGCAGACCCCCCAGGGAAGTAATCCGAGCCGGGGTTGCCTGCCACCGCTGCACCGTCGGTGTCATTCTGGCTGAGTTTCCTCTTGCCCTCGGGTGGGTTCTTCTTGTTGAAGGTCACGTTGAGGTTGGGGGCCCCGAGACTGGCAATCATGTTCTGACAAGCGGTGGAGAGCGCAGCCAGGCAGCTCTGGCCAAACAGGTTGTCCTTGGAGCTGGGTTTATTGAAGGAGCCCAAGGAGAGTGCCCCCAGCTTACTGGCCGAGGCGCGCTGGCTGGGCTGGAAATCGGGCTGTGGCGGGTACGCGCCCCCGCCGCCCCCGCCGCTCCCTGAGCTGCCGCCGCCCCCGCCTGCGCTTGGGGGCGAGTTGACGCCGGGACCGCTGTGCGGAGTGGCTTGCCTGCTCCCTGCGCCGAAAGGAAAGCCCGGCTGACCCCCGAGCCCTGGCGCGGCGAAGTCCGGCGGTGGAGGCCGGCGCTCTGAGGCCGCGCTGGGTAGTCCCACTCCGGCCCCAGGCGACTGCAACTGACCCAAGCCAGCCAAGCTGCCCCCAAACTGCAGGCCCGGCGAGGGCAGCGCGGGCACGTGGCCCTCACCAGGCATCCTCAGCGACTCCTGCAGAGGGCCCCGGAACAGCACCCCCGAGCCCCCGGGCGGAGGGGGAGGCGCCAGGCCCGGATCGTGCGGGCCGCAGTCTGCCGGCAGGCCCGACCCACCCATCCTGCGGGGCAGCAGGTCACCGGGCTGAGGACCTGGAAACCACGCGCTCTCCTGGGCCAAGTGCGGTGCCTGCTGCTCGAAGGTGCCCAGGCGCCCCGAGGCACCCGCGCTGGAGCCTTCGCGCTCAAAGTTCGGCTGGGCCAAGCCACCCACTGGGCCGCCGTGCACCAGACCGCCCTGGCCCACGTCCCCTGGGTGGCCTAACTGGGCCAGGTTGGGCTGGCGCAGCCTCTGTTGCTGATTCCGCGACGCCATCTGTTTAATCATGAGGGCCGCGTTTTGGCGCTGTTGCTGCTGCTGCTGCTGTTGCTGCTGCTGTTGCTGCTGCTGCTGCTGCTGCTGCTGCTGCTGATGTTGCTGCTGCTGCTGCTGCTGCAGGGACTGGTGGTCAGGGGCCGGGTGCTGGAGGGGAGGCCCTGAAGGGAAGCTGTCGGGTACAGGCGGCGTGAACTCGCCGGGGAGGCCCGGGTAGGCGGAGGGCGAGAGGTGGTTGTCCAGGGCTCCGTTGTGCATGTTCCCATTCCACGAAGACGCACAGCGGTCCACTCCCGCGCTGCCTGGGAAGTCGAATCGCGGCCTCTTGGCCACGTTCATGTAGGGGGGCGCGTCGAAATGCTGCAGCCGCTGGTTGGGCGCCTGCTGCGGAGGGGGGTGTTGCATGTTGAAAACCGGCTCGGAGAAAGGATGCATGCTCCGGTTCTCCAGCCGGTGGATGGGGTACTCGAACTGCGCGTGCTGGCTGGGCAGCATGGGACCCCCGTCCTGCAAACCTCCGCTGGGCGTGCCGGCCTCACCTTGCTGGGGCCGCGGATGCGCAGGCGGGCACGAATTTTGTCGGACTAGAAGCCCAGGTGGTGGTGGTGGCTGCTGTTGGGGCGGTTGCTGAGGGGGCTGCTGCGGAGGGGGCGGCGGGGCCTGCTGGGGAGGCTGCATTAGCGGGTGCCTGGAGCCCACCCCGGGCTCCAGACCTACAGGCATCTTTCGGGCCCCGCCGAACCTCTCGAAGAACACGCCGTGCTGCTGTTGAGGCTGCTGGGGTTGCGGAGGCGGCTGCTGCGGGGGCTGGGCATGCATTTTGGACAAGCCCACCATGCCCGCAGCTCTGGGCATGGCCGAGGCACCCGGGAAAGTGCCCCCAGGAACCTGACGACCTGCCGCGTAGTGAGGCAGCTGCCCCTCTGAGTCGTTGGGTGAAAACATGTCAAAATGTCCCGAGGGCGCCTCGCCCGGGTAATTGTATTCCAGCGAGTCCACGGCTCCTTGGTTTGACACCCTCCGGGACTCAAGATTGTGGGAATCGGAGCCGTTGGAGGAGGGCAAGCCGTGGAAAGAGGCGGCCCGGTTAGGGCTCTGGTCCAGCGGCAGGCACGGGGCGGGCACGGCGTGGCCCGAGGCGCCCGAACTGTGGAAGTCCGGAAGGTTTCCTGGTCGCTGAGGGCCGAAGCTATCCGGCCCCTGGCTCTCCGCCATGTGCTCGTAACCCTCTGCGAAGGGCGGCTGGCTGCCCAGGCCGGCGGTAGTGCCGCCGTAGCCGAGCAGGCGACCCCCATGCAGGCAGGAGGCCCCTGGGTCCGGGCCACCGAAGTTGCCCCCGAAGTGGGGGTGATGCTGGTGGGGGTGGTGGCCTCCCGGATGGCCATGGTGAGGCTGCTGGCCGCTGAAGAAGCCGTGCACAGGCTGCGCCTGCAGCCCCCCTGCATGCAACTCCGAGTGGCCCCGCGCGTGGAAGCCGTAGGGTTCCATGTTCATGCCCAAGATTGGGGGCTCGCCCAGTGCACTCATGGCAGGGTCCACGGGACCTGGGGGCCCCCCTGTGTGGAAAGCAGGGGCCTTAAAGTGGGCGTTCATGCTCAGTCCGGTCTCGTTAAAGTTCCTCTCGCCCTGGCCAGCGTTCCTGTTGTTGATCTGGGGCTCGAATTGGTCCAGCCCAAACATACTTGGCGGGGGGCACGGGGAGATCAATAGGGCATGACAGCTTGCTCTCCACCGCGCGCCTCCCGCCAGCGACTCCTTCCAGCCTCGGCTTGGGCGCTCCGGGACGCTCGGCACCGCGGGGGCGCAGCGCGCTCCGCCACCCCGCCAGGCGTGGGGAGACCGAGGGCTATCCGATCCTCTCGCGGAGCTCTGGATATGCCGGGGCGGACCTCTCACATCTTTCGAGGCCGCGGGGCCTCCAGAAGCCGTGGTGGGGGGCCCATGCCCCGGGCAGTTGGCGCAGCTGCGGGTGGATTTGCAGGGAGGGGACCGAGCCGCGGGTGAACGGAGACAAAAAGTTAAGTGGGGGGAAAGGAGCGGGAAGGAGGGTGGGAAAGAAGAGCGATCACCTTCTTAAGTCCGATCGGGTCGATAGGGGAGCCCCGGGACGCCGCCCGCAGCCTCCAGGAGTCCGTAGCGAAGCTGCTAAGGGCCGGGAGGAAGACCCTTCCAAGCCGCGGCCGGCGATGGGGCACCGACAGAGCGGTCCCTCCCCCCGCCCCCCGTGATCCCCGCGCTCCACAGCCCGAGCCTCCGCCGAGCAAGATCCGCTCGCACAGTCCCCGCCGGCTCCGGGAGAGCAGCTGCTGCTTCTTCAGCGGATCGGAGGTCCAGAGGCTCCGCTTCGCATCGCTGGTGCCGGCCTCCGAGCCGAAGAGGCAGCGGGACTGAGGAGGTGGCAGGCGCCGGCGTTGGAGCGGAGGGTCCGAGGTAAGGCGCGGCTGCCCTGCCCGGCAGAGGGTGCGCTGCGCCCCGGCGCGCCGCTTCTCGGCCACGTCCGCCGCCTGCGGCTTCTGTCCTCCGCCGTTGGATCTCTGAGTTCACCGGAGTCTCCGCACCCGGTTGCAGAAACGGGCGAGTAGAGGCGAGGGGCTGGGTCGCTCCAAGGCTCCGGTTCCCTGCCTCCGCGCCGAGGTGCTTCGACAGTTCCCCCTCGGACCCAGGGAAGGGGGGCGTACGCGGGTTGGGGGGCCACGCTGCGCAAGCGAGCTCAAGCGTTCCGACTGCGTTCGTCAAGCTGGGAATAGGGGGGCGGGGGCAGCTCTGAGGATCCGCGCACCCCTCTCCAGGCTGATACGGGGAGGGGGCCTCTGCGTGGGGCGTTCCGAGGGTCTCGGCTCCCCTCTCTGTGTCTGCCTTTAGCCCAGCACCGGGAGAAGCAGCAACAAGTTTTGCATTTCAGCAATCAATTTCAGCCATTACATTTGCACCAATCAGCGCCTCCCAGGCTCCGGGGCCGGGGCGGGGCTCGCTCTTAAGGTGGTCCCGGGTGCTGGCTGCGGAGGCCCCCGCCACGAACCCGAACTACCCCAGCTCTGAGCTCCCTAGCGTTCCGCTCGCCTCGGGGTCCGGCGCCAGTGCGCTGGGGGCGCGCCCTGGCCTCCGGGCGCAAGAGGCTGGAGGGGACTCAGGCAAAGGAGAATGGCGGGAGCTTGGCTTTGTTCGCCCCCTCTCTGTTCACTGTGTTCCCAACTCCCCACCCCCAACTGAAGCTAGACCCGCCGGGTGGCAGGGGGCGGGGAGGTGGACGGTGAGCGGTGCGGGGCGCTCAGACAATGGGGTCGCCTGGCAAAGGCCCTAGACTCGCGGAAAGTCGCAGTCTGCGGCGCTTCCCTTGGGGGGAGCCCTCCCTCGGCTCTTCACTAGTGGCGCCCACGGTGGCCGATCCTGGGATTTTCCTGGAGGTTAAAGCGGACTGGGAACCCTGAAGTTAAGGTTCTGGAGAGATCTGGACGTCTGCTTTCTCCTTCATTAGGGCACGCGCAATGTTCCCTATTTCCCAGGCCTGGGGTTGCCGGTTCACAGCCGCTGGCTTCTGCCTGGAGCAGCCAGGAGCACTCGGCCACTTTGTAGGGGGACATCGGATAAACCCAGCGCGGGAGCTGCGAGCCGAAGCGTCTGGGAACCCGAAGAAGTGTGTACACCGGGCCGGACACCTGGCTCCAGTCACCCACCCCAAGCCTCAGGCCCTCTCCAGGTGGGCGCGAAATTGGCCCCCTTAAAAGATCAATTAAACTGAAGAGGCCAAGGAACGGAATTAGGTTGTGATACTAAAATCAATAGGAGTAATTTAATATCTGCCCTGCTCTTTTTGAAATATTTATCCCAATAATCTTAGTTAAAATGTTTAGATCTTCCTGATCCCCACCGAGGCTGAAATCTATCTTGCAATTAGAAGCTGCAAGTTAGAGGTGATGGAGGATAGACGTATTTATTGTGTGTGTGTGTGTGTGTGTGTGTGTGTGTGTGTGTGTGTGCCTGTGCCCGTCCCTGCGGTCGTCCGTGCGTATGCGGGTTTCTTTCTAAAGTGTAAGTAGAGGAAGAGAGGGAAAGCCTTTAATTGTCTTTGCCATAAAATACCACGAAATTTTGCTAGCAGACTAGAGTTCTTACGCGAAAGGAAGAAAAAAAGAACTTTGGTTGAAGTGCCCCCCCATATCGCTATTAAATCTAAATAAAATTAAGCATGGTGTATAAAAATGCCTTTTCCCCCCACAAAAGAAAGTGTTTATCGCCCAAGTCTGTCTGGCGTTTGCTAAATTGTGCATGAAATCTGAAATGAAATAAACGTTATAGTAAAACTAACCCCTGAGCCCTTTTTATTTAAAAACCTCAGATTAAGCACTCCACCCTGACGGACTCCAGTTTAAAAGTTACCATGTCGTGTGCGAAGGAGCCCTTGCCCCCTGGGCTCCCCAGAACTGCTGTTCCCTGGGATACAAGGCTCAACTTAGAAGGTGGGGGCAGGGCACAGGGTCCTCAGGGATTTCCAAAGAAACCCCCCACATACACACAAATGAAAACAAACAATAAAACTAAACAACTTTAAAACTCAGAAAGCTGAAGCAAGCTGAGATCCAAGCCCCTCCTGGAATATATATATATAATTTTTTTCCTTTTTCTTTTTGAAATTAAAAATGAAAATTACCCCCACCAAAAATGGGGTCCATAAATAAGCATCGAGAAGAAGCATTTGTACAGGGCGGTGGAGTTTTAAAAGGATTTTTCTGCAGGATCAGGTTGTTGGTCTGTGATTAAATATTGATTTTGTGTAATTAGTTTTCATGTGAACTATCCTCTTGCTGATAGCTTAGAGGTTTCAGAACTAGAAAAGAAATGGAATTGGACATGGAAATTATTACTTAGCAAAGTGACAGGGAAGCGGGAGGCACAGAAAAGACTGAGGCTGAGCTGATTTAGGCACAAAGAAAGAAAAGGACCTGGGTAGGCCTCCTGTGACCCCTGTCGCACCTAAGGGCTCTAAGGTCTCTGGGCAAGGCAGCAGGGGAGACCTTAGCACTCCTGGCAGGATGGAGGGACCCTTAGTGGGAACCATTGTGAGAGGAGTCCCCCACATGGGTGAAGTCTGACACCAGGTCACATACTTGGCTCTAGGTTGTGGGTGTCTGGAAAGGGAACTTCATGAATAGTCTTGTGTCTGGAGGGAATGGGAGAGGTAGGGACCTGTCTGGGTTTCAGGGGTGGGCTGGGTGGGGAGAGTGGCTCACAGGCCTACAGTCTGGGGAGCCCCGGTTGGGGTGTGCCGGTCTGGTCTGAAGCATGATTTCACACTGGGTCGTGCAGGGGTCCCCTGCACACCTGGAAGGGTTTCCTGTGGAATAATTCTGTGTGCTCAGGGGTGTGGTGGAGTGGGAGTATTTTTCTGGGGCTGTTTCCAAGCTCTCTGAGGTGTATGAGTATCTGAAAAGAGAGTGTGTTGGGGGCCTGGTTGTGTTTCTGTGCAGGGCTTGTGTCTAGGTCCCCTTTCCTTAAGACTATGAATGCGTCACGGTTATACATGTGCCAGCATTCTTGGCCTGCGTGAGCCTGGTGGGACACCTGTGTGTCCCGTGTTTTTGTCACAGCAGGTGCAAACAAAGCCTACATGAATTTAGGGTGTCTGTGTGGCTGCCTGCGGGCTGCCCCGGCCCTGTGGATGTGCACCCTTCCGTGGGTTTCCACACGTGCACCGTTGCCTCTGTCTCTGCACTCCTGTTTCCCACTGCGAGTGTGAAGGTGTGTGTTACTGCCTGTGACCATCAGTGCCCATGTGTGCCCTGGTGTGTGCGCCTCCAGGATATGGGTGCCCCGTGTGTGCCTGTGCCTGTGTGTGCACTCCACCTGCCGGCCCTCGGAGCTTCTTCGAAACAGACACATTGCCCCCTAGTGCTCAGACGAATTCAGAGTCCCCGCTGGCCAGATGGGGAGCAGCAGGATCCCCAGGCAAGGATCTGCCTGGGGCCTCACCTCCCTTGTCCTACCTCCGCCTCCGGGGAGAGAGATGGCTGGGGAGAAGGGACCCCCTGGGCAGTGGGAGGAGGGGCACAGGTGGCTGAAGAAGGATGCTCCGAGCTGGAGGCGTGTGGGTGCAGCCTGGAATGGTCCCCAGAGGCTGCCCAGAATAGGGTGGGTAATGGGGTGAACTCCTCACTGGATCAACCACATGAGGCCAGCACTTAACCCCCTCCACCCAGGGCACAGCATCTGCACAGCTGCCTGTCAGGCCCCACACCAACACACACACTTACACTGACTTGCAAGAGCTGTATTACCCCTCCACAGAGGGCACGTCAACACACATCTCTGGGCATGGCAGCCTCACTCCGTGTCCATTCCATGTCACATGCCCTATATCCATTTCATCCTCTCTGCAACCCTATGGGAGTCAAGACTCTAGACCCATTTTTCAGATAAGGATATGGAGCTCAGAATAGGCGGCTGGGCCAAGTTCCAATCTCCTGACACTGAGGCCTACCTCCTAACACTGCCCAATCCTCCTGAAGGTCACAGTTAAAAGGAAAGCCTCAAGCCTTCATAGGGAACATGGAAGGTCCCCACTTACTGCCTCTGCTGTCATTATCAAGATTGGTATCATCTTCTCGCACACAAACATGAGAAACTGACCCTTCCCAGGGGCCAGCGGACTTCAGACTTTCAGACCCAGAGTCAGTCTTTTGGGCACAATATT